AACGCCCCTTGATATTTCACGGTTCGGTTCATTTGTAAATTGACAGCTCGTCAAAATAGAAACATAATGAACAGATTACCCCTGGATTACCAGATTTGTAAAATTACTTTGTTCTCTAAAAGAACACGTTGCAGGCGATTGCAAGAACTGTAATAAAAAAGATTTACGATAAAAGAAAGTTAAAACCATGAGCGATTGCTGTGGAATTTCTTGTTTTTTTTATCGTGTGGCTTTATCTCGCCTGAAACCTTGTCGACACGTCAAAAAATGATTTGTCCGAACAATTCACTCCGCCGGGTATAAGTTTTGCAGAGTGGCTGCTCTTCAGCCTGTGTCGAAACGTTCTCTACAATAGATGCCGCTAAATTTCCAATAAACAAAAAGAATCTTTTTATTTCAAAATGCTGACAGATCGCTTGTCCATGGCGGCTTCAGCTAGTGTTGAGTACCGATGTTCTGATTTATGTTGATGTTATCTCCAACAAACAGTCCATTTTTTCCAGTCAGATCCGCATGCCGTCATTCTCAATTGTCATTCTCAATAAATTGGCCTTCCCTAGTCTCCACTGCTCGATCTCCAATTATACTTTGAAGACTCTGATCTCATAAACCTTTGCACAAACACGATTCCAATAAATGTCAGTCCAAAGCATTTGTAATCTGCGACCACAAATCAGATGAGACCAGATCTGTGACGCACGAAAACAAAGCATACCTGGTTTGATTGATGTTTCGAATGCTAAGTAATCAACACTACCCACACCGCGCCAATCAGAAGCTGCGTTCGTGGGCGAACGCAGTTTTTCAAAATTGTGGGGTTTGTGGGCAAGCGGTTCCTTCTTTCCCCTCCCCCTTCCCCGTCATTCTTTTTTTTTTTTGCTCTTGCCCTAGCTTTCTAGACGAACCTCGCGAGGAAACGCTTGCTACGCAGGCTAATTTTCTACTTCAAACCAGGCCCAAACATCAACACTCCGAATATCAAAGAACGACTGTTCCCAGATTTGAGTCTTTGAGCGCTAAGAAATTCCATAATAGGTTTATCTCAATTTACTTTAAGCGCTGTGTTCAAAGGGAATTAAACACTTTCTTCTGAAGCACTCACAAAATTTAGGCTGGCTTATTTTTTGCTTCTGCTTATTTTTTGCGCTTTTGAGTATTTTTGTAGAAAAAGCGCAATATAAGTATTAAATATTATTATTATTATTATTATTATTATTATTATTATTATTATGTGACAGGGCCTGGGAACTGCTAACAAACAGCCCGGGTCGAGGTCGAGATTTCATGTCAGAAATAGGTCTTGTGCAGGGAGTAATTAAGGAAGTAGACAAAATAAGTAAAAGTAATGCTTCATTTTATTGTTTCTACCGAAACTTTTATTTTTTCAGATCTGACTCATTGACTCATGACTCATGACTCATTGACTCATTTGACTCATTAATACTTTACACTCCTCGCCATACAAACTTTTGTAAAATTTTGTGACTTTGAGGAGGTGTATCTCCATTAGTTTTCGACAAATCACATTCAAATGTTGCAATTTTAACTAATTTTAAGGTGCTCTTTTGAGTGGTATCAACAGATTTTCCTGAACTTGTCCATGTTGAAAGTTTTTTGAAAAAACTGTGAAAAGGTCTATGTGACAGAACACTGTTCTCTGTCCAACCGACTCACTTCCCACCCATCCTGACTCCCTCCAGATTGAACTGATTCACCTACTGTACAGTACGTGTTGAGGGGAGGATTTATCTTCTGAATTGCCTCTATTGAAAAAGTTCTTTCATGTAATGTCTAATGTCGAAAGTTTGGATAATCAAACATTTCTCTCTTATTTGGTGGATTCTTTCATAGATGTTTTTCAGCTTCAAGATTTTCATTTGTTTCTGTATTTCTGTTTCATTTCCCAAAAGAATATGGTAGAGGGGTTCAGGGGGGCTGTGGTCTGGAGGTGTCCACAGGGAGTCATTTGGGAGGGGCAACCTGTAGGGGGGTTAGTTGGCCTCCCATGCAGTTCTATTTAGGGGAGCCTGTATTTCGTCCCTCTCCACAAACGCCTGCTCAACCCAGAACAACATTCCTTTCCTAGGCTTAGCCAATCACATTGTACTTTCCAAATTCTGGAAAGTTGACCTTGACTGCTGGGTAACCCGATAATTACTCAACACTGGGAAAGCTTTGTGACCTGTAATGATTATTATATTAGAGCAGCAACAGTGAGATTTAGTCACATTTTAGAATACTCCGTGCTCTGCATAACCTTAGTGAAGGAAAGAAAAGAAGGAAAACAGTGGCTCTAGGGTCACGTTTTTACACTAGCATGAGCTTGTGAGTTGTGTTTAGCCTGTCAACACTTTATTTAACAACTGTAGATTGGTCACTTCCCACGCAGATAAAACAATGCGAAAGGAATATTGTTCTTGGTTGAGCAGGTGTTTGTGGGGAGGGACGAAATAACAACTCTCCTAAAAATGACTGCGTGGGAGGCTAGGGGTTAGTTGACCCTGTTGTTTCTTTTAAAATTAAACCCAGCTGATGCATTCTTTTAGTAAATAATATCAATCTATTCAGGAGACAATTAGTACTTCCTAATTTGTCAACACTACATGCCAACTTACCTACCACTATTGTAACTCACATACTTCACAGCAGGTCCTGGTTGTTCAAAAGATGGACAAAGCTATTCACCAGATGGAGTGGATAAGTATTAGGAAAACTAAATGTACTATACTATCCATTGGATAATGTTTTGTCTGGTGGATATAGCATTATCCTGACCTTTTAAATGCCATGTAACAGCTGCTCAGAAGGGAAGTCACCAATGGTGCATTACCCTAACCCCAGACAATACTAAAACAATCGGAAGAATGACATGTCATTGTTTCCTAAGACCAATTAAGCGAGACCTTATTGGCAGCTCCTACACTATTCTTTTGAAAAATTAACTAGCGCCTGCAGTAAGTGGTAATGGAACATCCCACAGGGAAAGAGAACTGGTGTGTGTTATAGGTGGTTACACCTCATATCAGTGAATAGTTGTATGAACACCCTTTGGTTTCCCTAATACATATCGATTGGATGGTTACATGTTTATTTGGTGGATAACTCTGTCAGAACTTTGAATTACTGGGGCCTACAGCTGGTTACCGGCACTCCACAGCCTCACAGACATAGGCAACTTTTGCTGTCTATTAATATGTCTTTTTGACAGTTTTTGTATGTTTAGGAAGCTTGGGGGAACTGTAAGTCATGGCCTATCTGTTTTTCACAATGGAAAATCCAGGAAATGATATATCTTTATACAAAAATATAGATTAAAAATAATTATGAACAATACCCTATTTGATATTGCCCTCAATTAGGCTGAAAATTGTATTTCGGAGCATTGCTTCAGGCACCCATGGTTGAAAAAGTGGTGGGACCCTTTCATTCCCCTCAGCCTGTTCCACAATATTGGCAGCCACATACATGTATAAAGGCAAACTACAGCAAAGGCACAAACATACAGTACAGTCATTGTTACTTTAAATCCTATGATATTACGATTATAATGACTAAAAACTTCTATGTGTATTCCTTTAGTGCCACCACCTCTCTCTCATAAATTTTCTAATGAAGAGAAAAAGAAATTAACATCCATGCAGTATCAACATACAATACAACTGACGTGTATATCAAATCAATCAATCTTGTTGGAAACTCATCGCTCTCAGTTAACACAGCCAGACTATTAAAAGGTGCTTCATACCCATTGTCCTACCCTTGGGTTCTTCTACCTTGCTACCATTTCTGCATGTGCATTTTCAGGTAGTTGTGAATGGTTCCCCCATCTATTTATAGCCATAACCCCCAACAACTCCCTCCCTGCAAGCTGAGTGAAGAACATTTGCCTACATGGCTATGAGGGGTTGAGGGGTAGTCTGAGATGTCATTGTCTCTTTGCCATCCCCCCCCGCCCCCCCCAAAAAAAAAAAAAAAATGGGGAGCCAGGCAAGAGTCTGGCTTTTAGTTTATTGAGAATTTCAGTCTCCACCATTGAGTTGGATTACTCAAGTTCATGGCCAATTAATTAACAAGAAAATCTGAGGGGATTAGAACTAGTTTTACAGTACTACAAGATGTAAAGCATTTTAAGTATGGAGTATTGATGTCTTTACTACAACTAATAGCCTTTTTGGTTTTTCTTATTGTTGTTCTTGTTGGTTTTTTTTTGGCAGAGTTTAACAATATAAACTTAACTTTATTATCACACTAGTACATGCGGAAAATACTTGAGAACAATTAAAGCCAGGGGCTTAAATGGGGGTGTACATTTTCTCTCCCCACCCCCCCCTCTCTTTCTCCTCCCCTCTCTGCCCCTCTTTTTAAAAAGAGGTCTGTTTTACTCAGTAATTCCAAGAGAAAAAATCATCCGGAAATCCTGACCTGTTTGATTGCTCTGATTATTTTTATTAAAAGACTAATTTAGAGTTATGATATTCCATTAATTTCATTTGCTGTATACAAATGTAACTGTACCTGTTACTTAAGGCGAAAGAAACTAGCAAGCAATCTTTACTTATGTTTTGATGATTTATGGTGTTAAATAAATGACATTTTTCAATCAGCTTCCATTATGATGGAAGTTTTTGTCTTAGAGAAGGGCCATATAATGCAGGAGTTAAGGATAAGTCTATATGTAGATGATATTTACCGGTAATTAGCTTTGTCAATTTTGAAGCAGATTTGAGTGTTTGTATACAAAATGTACTTTACAAATAATGGAGATGATGACTATTATGTCTTGATAATTTTTATAATTTATTATTAAGAGATAACACGACCTCTGCTTAATCACAGCACTGATGGCAGAGAGCCACATATCTGATAATGTGTGGCTGGCAGTGTGATTGTACTGTGAAAGCAATGATAACCAGATTCTGCTAAACATCGAGTATTAGGACTAATTATATTGTTACTACTAGGAAAGTCATTTTAATTTCTTATTTTTCCCTTTATCAGCCATGGCTGCCTCATCCAGTCAACCTGAGACTGTGAAATCAGAATGCAGTCTGGACAATCCAAAGGTTCATTCTTTTTTCTTAATTCTTTTTACAATTAGCTATATTTTATTCCCATTGCACTATATACAATGTTATTTCATGGCCTTAGAAGAGAACTTTATGATTATGTGTCCCAAAAATAAACATTGAAAGTTGCCAGATGCTGTGTAAAAACTGCTTTCGTCAAGAAAACAGAAACCTACATGCGATGGTGTGATCATGTCCTTTTGGTGCATAGATGTGGTGAAAATAAGGAATGCAGTGGACCTTACATTTGGGGCATTTGTTTGTTTGATTAATAATAAAATTTGAGAATATTATATTGTTGATATGCCTAATTAATTCCTATTTTTTTGTTTTGTCTAAAGACACTGTAATACCAACTGTATGTGTTACTGTGGTGGGAAATTGAAGTGAAAAGGTGGCTATTATATCCCTATAAACTTAGTTTGCAATTTATGTACTAACAATTGACAGTTCCCAAACCTGCTATGTTTGTTGGTCTTGTCTCTCCTAACTATTCACTTTTATTGTTATCGTTTTTGTAGGCTTGCTATTCTGAGACCGGTGATCCAGTGTTGCATGTTACTCTTCTTGGTGGTGAGTGGGGTTCATCTGCTGGTGGGTTGTCAACAATAAACAGAGAGCTTGCTATTCACCTTTCAAATCATTCAGCGGTGAAGGTTTCTTTGCTTGTCCCAGAGGGAGCTTGTAACACTGAAGAAGTAAGAGAAGCAGGTGGCTATGGAATCACCATTGTTGAGGCAAAAGAACGTCCAGCATATGATCGTCTTGATTGGTTGAGCATCCCACCCCAGGACCACTTCATGGACATCGTTGTTGGTCATGGCGTTAAACTTGGTAGACAAGTACAATTCATTAGAGACTCTACTCGATTTCCAAAATGTAAATGGGTACAAGTGGTTCACACCGCTCCAGAGGACCTGAGCAGATACAAATGCTACAGTGACCCCATTTCAAAAGGTGAAACAAAACACGAATCAGAAGTTGAACTTTGCAAACTTGCTGATCTTGTTGTACCTGTTGGGCCCAGGTTGAAAGAAGCCTACACGTCATATTTACAGCGATGCAAGACAGCTGATCGAGACGTTTTAACCATTACTCCAGGTCTTTTTCAAAGGGAGTTTGAGGATTTAGTCGCAAAACAGGATCCTAACGAGGATGGTGTATTCAAAGTGTTGTTATTTGGTCGTGGGGATGATGAGGACTTTGAACTCAAAGGATACAACATTGCTGCTCAAGCGTTTACTGATCAGCGGCTAAAAAACAAACCTTATCATCTAATCTTTGTTGGAGCACCTGAAGGAAAGCAAGAAGAGGTTAGACAAAAACTTCTTCAGTATGGTATTGCAGAAGCACAGTTGACTGTTAGAAAATTTATACAAAGTAGAGACAGACTGAAAGATTTGCTGTGTGAAGCTGACCTTGTAATAATGCCATCAAAATCTGAGGGATTTGGTCTTGTTGCACTTGAAGCTTTGTCTGCGGGTTTACCCATTCTTGTTGGTAGTAATTCGGGAATTGCCAAAGCATTAGAAAATGTTCCTAATGGTGACAAATGCATCGTCTCTATTGATGATCCTGCAAAATGGGCAGAATCAATAAAAGCTGTTCGTGTCAGGCATCGAATGCGCCTTGAAGAGATTAAAGCACTCAAAGCGTCATATGGAGAGATGTACAGTTGGAAGGAACAATGCGAAGAGTTTGTGCAGAGAATGTGGAAAAAGGTCAAGGGTAAGAGGTGTTGCTGTGAAACTCATAAAACTAGAGTGTATGGACATGAAAAATATTTACTGAATGCCATTGACTGTTGCAAGGAAACAGCCGAGTAGGCTTGAGAAAATTAAAAACTGGTTGGTGGGTTTGACATTTGCTTGTCGGTTTCTTGAACAATTTAATCTCGTACCCAGATCTGGGTTCAAGGTTATGAACAATAATTATTGTGATTGGTCGACTGATTGGTCACTACACAATCAATTTCATGAAGTATTTCAGGTGTACTTGTTTTTCTCAGCTCACAAGCAATTAGTTCTGACAAATTGATTTTATATTTTAGTGTTTTAGTACTGTTATGGTTATGTAGTTTTTTACATGGTGGCTATACGGGGCACTACAGTCTGTAATTATGCACCCTTTTGAAATATAGTGTCATTTATTGATTCATAGTAAACATTAATAGTACTTTTACAACATAAAGTGATACAAATGAATGGAATTTTTCAGTTTTTGGTGCTGGGGACTAACAAGCTAATTATTTCTTTGACCATTCGAGGTACTAATTGTCTGCAAATTAATAAGTATTATGCGTGAATGTTCTGTTATAGCCTGTTCCAGGCTCTCAGATAGTGGGGAAGACGCGAAAGTAAAAGGCACGCGAAAAGTTGGCGGGTCAAAAAAGAGGAAAAGGAAGGGAGCCGCCCTTCCTCTCCCCAGTTTCCTCCCGTTTTACTTTCGTCTTCGCGCTTTCTCAATTCAGCGGGCCCTACTATTTCGGAGCCTGGAACAAGCTAGTTCTATTATGAAAAGTATAGCTGATGAAATAAGTACAAAGTAGGCAGTCCACTGTCCAGCGTGAATCCTAAAGCACTTGCCATTCCAGCACGCCTAGTGAATTTTAACTTTCTTTAAAACAACCCTTAAGTTTCTCTTATTATTATTATTATTATTATTAGAAATTTGTACTGCGTAGTTTCTATGAAAATATTCAACTGCGCTCTCCAGCGAAAAGGAACTTTCAACTTTGTACCCTCGAAATAAAAGTATTGTTGTAACCAATCAACAGGGTCATCCGAAAACGGCAACAAACGAAGAATCAAAGAGCCGCTTGTTGAAGAAATTTTTCTTGGTAAAAGTGCTGAAAAGAAAGCCCCTTTTGGTGCAGGAGGTCAAACTGAAATATCTCAGTCTCAAAGTGGGCGTAAGCGTAAAATTTCAGGACCTTCGTCTTATCCAGGTATATACGTAAACACGTTATTAATTTTGACAATTTTGCTTTCTCCTGCTTCTGTCTTGTGGTGCATGAGCAAAGGGTGGGGTGTTTTTTCAGGTTACAGACTGGAGGCACCTTTTCCTACACTGAGGAGAGTTTACCGTTTAATTTTAAGCAGTGAAAAAATTGATTTGAGTGATTGAAACTAACCTACTGTTATGTTACCCGAATTAGTGCAGCGTTTTCATGACAAGAAAATAAACTATTGCAAGAAGAAGTAATTAGGATACTGCCTATATTTTGATAACACGTACCTTCTCTGTGTTACTATCTTTTACTTTCAGACATTGTTACCAGGCACTGTTACCAGGACCTTACTGATGAACAGGAAGAAATAATCCATGAAACTCTAACAAGACAAATACAATTGTACACTAAATATCGTAGGGTTTCAACAGCCGATGGGGTGTCTGCTCTGATAGAACATATACAGGATGCGTACAACTTGGCCTTGAAATCTGTGGGTGTCGGATCTCTCGAAATAACATTTCAGTGCACCTCCCTGGAGAGTCTTGAATGTTTGTGGTGTGATTATCAGTCTGGGCACCTTAATAATATTGCTCAGAGATACCTTGTGACTGATGACATAAAGAACAAACTGAACTTGGAGAATGTCAGGTTGGAGACAACTATTGAAGACGAAAACTACCGGATTTGTAAGGAGATTCTAATGGAAAAATCATGTAAGCCTGAAAGCTCTTTGTAAGAAATTGACTTCAATTTAAACTCAAACAATTGAAAGCTGAAATCAGTGACCTGAAAATACAATTTGCTCACTGAAGGACACAATTTACAGGTTACACCTTTCTACTTAAAACCCTGATAAAAATGCTGGTTTTCTTTGTTTTATGCATCTCTACAGCAGCTATCTAAGATCAAAAGAGACAGAGTTCAAATAAATTATTGCAATGAGGGGAGATGTCTTAAATATGAGAATAATATAAAATCTCCCAAGCTTGTTATTACTTTTCTGAAACTGTTTGCAATAAATTGACAGTGCATGAGAAATTAGTTGACCTCTCAGCTGAATTCTTTGGATTCTCATATTTCCTCTCAAACGCAGCCTTTGATTTTAAAATCAGGTCAGCAAGTGAAACAGATGAATGTTTGTAGGGGGTTTTCACTTTTTATGTTGCGTACAGTAATTTTGCCTGCTGTGAGTATTATTTTTTTGAACAGTACATTTACACTAGATATGTCATTTAGTAGTGATTTCTCTCTTTCAGCCGAATCAGATCAAGAGACAGCTTCACTAACGATTGACAAAAGCCCAGTTAAATGTGAGGTAGGCCGCCTTTTACATACGATTAAAACTGAAAATAGCTGAAGACCTAGAAAATAAAAAATCGAGCAGTGCGTCTTGGCTGTTTGTTAAACTATTGTTAAGGGGATGGTAATGAAAAGATGTTCATCGCGTCAGTGTTATTTTATGAGGGTTGCAATCTGCGTTTTGTTTTTGCGCAAAGCGATCGCGAGCGGAGTCCCATAGCTAAGACAATTTGTTGATCTACCCACCGCCAAAATTTTAGTAGTCACTTGGCCGTACGTTTGCCCGCCCGTCTGTACCACAGGTAAAGCAATGTAAATTGTCACCCTCTCTAGCTTGTATGGGAGCCTGCAACCTGATATTGCACATATATGTTGTGGTGAATTGACAGCTGTCAAAACAGGGTATCCACTGATCGAATTTACTTATACTGATTAGTATCACGTGACCATGTCGTGGGCTTAGTTGTCGACCCACCGTGGGCACGCGTTTTTTTTTTAAGTTCTCCGCTGAAAAGTTACTAGTTCTCAACTGATGGCAGGCTCATCATCTTTGCAATGGTTGCAAAAATAATTGTTTGAAGTAAATATTTAACAATTAATGAATGAGGCTGAGTATCTTATGAAGAATTATGGAAATCGAGGAGGGTGTTATCCGTCGAGGCCGTAGGCTGAGGTGGATAACACCCTCCGAGATCTCCATAATTATTCATATGATACGAAAGCCGAATTCAATAATTGTTTTATTATTCATTCAAAAGAGTTCCTACTTTTAAAACATAGCTCAAACAAGCTTACCTGCATCGATGTTAAGTTTATCGTCGATAGTTGACGTTTAGGTTTGTCCAGCTCCGCAAATATTCTCCAAATAGCAGACGTCGCCCTCCGAGTTGTCTTCTTGCTGTTTTTGTTATGTTTTTAGCCATTGTTTCGCCTAGCTCCAGCTGTAGTTCTTACTCTTGAAACGAGTGAGGAGTCCGCCATTTTAGTTTTTACAACGAAAACAACTCAATCTCGTCCCCAGGTCTTCTCGGTTAACGGTGCCTTAACCTATAGAAGGCTGCATTTTTGACGTCATTTCCTCGTTAAACACAAAATGCCTCCAAATTTGGTCATCAGTAACTGGTTATGGTGAATTATGTGTGTGCTTTTAGCCAATCAGAATTGGGGAAATATTTTGAATGAATAATAATATAAATTTAGTAACAGGAGATTCGCCTTTAGCCTTGGCTAAATCTGTATATTGGCTCAATTAATGTATCGTTGTTTTCTAAAACCATAAGACAACTTTGAAAGGAAAGTGTCGCTAGGTGGCTTTTAATCAGTTAGATGTCCTATTTTTGTCTGTAGAAGTGCTTCTTTATAAAACGTTCGGCTTTTAAAATATTGCAGAACTGTTTGTAAATATAGTTTTTAATCATCCTAGAACAAGGAGCTGGTCCTGACTCATATGGAGAGAGCCGAGAACGCAAAAGTAAGTTCAGTGAGATATGTATTGTAGTGTGCGCTCGTTGTGCATTACACTTGATGAAAGATTGGAAAATGCCAAATTGATAAGCGGCTGAGTTTGATTAAAGTACAAGTCGTTACCACTTTGGCATTTTTGACAGCCAGGAGTTTATTCTGAGTTGCAACGTCGCAAACCCTTTCACTGTAGAGCGCCCTGGGGGATGTTTGCTCAGGTCTGAGTTAATATCTCCAGTATCCATACAGATACAAATAATTGGCAATTATTGAACGAGGTTGAGCAAAATATCGTGATTTGTCAGTGGTGAGCAGATCAATTATTTGCCGAAGCCGAAGGCTGAGGCAAATAACTGATCTGCGAGACACTGACAAATCACGATATTTTGCGATAACCGAGTTCAATAATTATTTTATCGTTCGATCACTGAGTTTGTTTTTTAATAAATAATATCTTCGGAAAGCGGTTAGCGCGCGCTGCCTTCCAGGAGTAATGACAGAGATCACACAAACGAGCAAGGAGCAAGCGTGGTTTCATTTACGCATGAGCAGAATAATGTTTGCAGCCAAAAACGGTTAAACGACATTGCGCATGAGCACACCATTATTTGTAGGCAGTTATTTGCAGGTCACGTGGTGGGCTCTCGGCCAATGAAAAGGAAGAAACATTTGCATCGAATGATAATATAGTTTTCGAATGGACAGACATTTGCTAGTGAATCCCGGTTAAGGTTGTTATGTCGTAACAAATAACCGAGAGGAAGGTTTGTAGACTGATGGAAATAGAGAATACTTCATGGCAAGTGCTGGCGTACGGTATTTACGCACGAGTTGTTGACGTATCAGAAATCGAGCGAGTGAGCGCAGCGAACGAGTAAGATTTCTGATACAAAAACAACGAGTGCGTAAATACCGTACAAAGCACTTTCCATGTGGTATTGTGTTTATTATATACATACCGAGACATTCATCATTTTGGCGGCCTTTTTATTTTAAATCTTTCAAAAATGCTTATATGCCGCTACACACTTGCCGCAAAATGACAACGAAAACGAAGTATCAGTTTTTTAGTAAAAACGTTTGTTAAAAACATAAATGACGGTAAGGATATGAGGTAATCCAAGAACTATAAGTAATCTTAACTGTTTGTTGTCAATGCACAATTGAAAATGAGTGAATTTAAGTAAAATGGCCGGTTTCAATATAAGCTTAAGCTTACATGAAAGGCAAAGTAGCTCCGACAAAAAGCGCAACAAAAGTTTACGTCTCGTTCTGTTTTTCCCTTTCCGCTGTTGTTTCGCCGGCTCTCTACCGTTTTCTTTATCGACAGTGAAACAAACGAGACTATTCCACTCCATTTCCGAAATGTTTTTCACTTTTTTAGCGAGAAAAACTCTTTGAGTAAAACTTTTCTCGTTGAATGTGTGCGAAGCGGCGCTGCAAGCTGCAATAAAAGGCGGGAATTTTAGCGCGAAACTCCCACGCCTCTATGGCCTCTGATTGGACGTATCATTTTTCTCACACGTGAAAAAACATCGTTCGCGATTCTGATTGGACGTATCATTTTTTTCACGTGTGAAAACCATCTTTCGCTCCTCTGATTGGCTAGAACTAATTTGCGTACGAAAATTTACGACATAGCTTTTTGGTGAGTATTTCTCAGTATGTATATAATAATTGGCTTTTATCAACTGGTGTGATTTTAAGTGACCGTTTCTTAATTACTGTCTCGTTACTCGATATGTTTTTAATCAGGCGTCGAGAGGCCCTCTACATAAGGCTGCTGTCAGTGGAGAATACAAGACGGTCAAAATGCTTCTTCAAAATGGTGAAGATGTGGATCAAAGAGATCAGGTTTTAGTCTCCTCCAGTTTATGTAATTTTTGTGGGGGCGGAAGCCTCAAGAGCGACTTCTTGCTTTTGCTTGGCTTGGGGATTCTTAGCGGGGCTCCCGCGCGCGCGAAGCGCGCGTGGGACAGAGCCCCATACCCATGGAATATGGTCAACCTCTTTTCGTTTGGTTGTCACATGATTGACCGAGCGTACGTACGTACGCGTCTACAGATTCTACGGGTGGGGTGGGGGAGACTATCAAAAGGAAGGGAGGGGTGTCTCAGGCGTGTCTTTGCAAGTCCACATCTTTAATATAGGATTTTAGTATAGGACATTCACAATATGGCCAATTGACAGCTGTCAAAACAGGATAGCCACTGACCAGTATCCCATGACCATATCACGGGCTCATATGTCAACTCATCGAGGTGACGTGATTTATTTGGAAGCTGTCCGCTGACCAGTTAATTGTTTTACTAGATCGCGAACAATGTTCAATCTCATACTTTTACTAGTTAAACTGATAATGCACACATATTGGACATCAATGTTTTGATCAATTGACAGCTGTCAAAACAGGGTACCCGCTGACCAGTAGCATTTGACCGTATCGCGGGCTCAGGTGTCGACCTATCGAGGTCAAGTATTTTTTTGAAGTTATCCGCTGACAAGTTACTAGTTTTCAATTGATCGCAGGCTCAAGTTCAATTTTTTTTTAAATTCACATGAAATATGTTGTGTTTATGTGCTACACAATTAAAATTTTGATTGCAAACTGACCTTGGACGCGAAAATTCAGCCAGCTGTTACAGGCAGGGAAGACAGTTGCTTATGACTTTTCTCACCATGGTCACGCGTTGGTCACGCTCTACGTCCAATTTTTATGCTCTGATTGGTCAAAATTTGACAGGTGAGTTCATGCGGAAAATTTATGCAGCATCTTGAATCTTGTTTACTTTGACAGCTGAAGGTGACAGAGTTTTGTGTCAACTTGTGATGTTTTTAACTGTCTTTTTCCACTGGATGTGCAAAATGAAATTCAGCTGCTATCAGGAGTCTTTTGTTATTCATGGCTAGTTTGTTTATTGGGTTTTTGGTTGAGGAATACGTCGCTTGTCAAAGTCGGAAATCCGATTTCGGATGGCATCGTTTTCGTTTTCACCTTGCTTGATGCGTAAGAGGATTGCAAAGTCTGAAGCGATACTGGCTTTTCTTGATACCTTTCAGGAGCTGCATCTCGAATGGTAAGCCAGAGAAATTGTTGTATTTGATGTTTGTTTTTTTGTATCTAATTTAATGAATTCAGGCAGCGTTTATGCGGGCATTTAGTTTATGCACGTTTGTAAGATTTGAGGCAATGATCTGACCGAGTATCAGGTTTGATATAAGCTTACAGAACTTTAAAAAGCCTTTAGACAGTTTCTCACCGCAAATAGAAAGAAAACGTTCCAAAGAATATTTAGTTATAATTCTGGCCGGAAAAGAAAGCTTTGATCGATTTTCTTGCCTCGAGTTCGTCTTTGAAAAAAGCAACCACCGGGAAGCCGGCTTAAAACATAAACTTAAGCTTGAAGCTTGAAGACTCAGGATTTTTAGGGATACTTTAATACTTGTATTCATAAATGAAAATTGTTGTCTCTGTATATGTTTCACCGAATTATATTTCTTTTATTGATTGTTAGTAGTCTCTCTTGTAATTTTATTCGCTGTGCCGATTGCTTTCAGTCGTTCAGTGAACATCGTTTGCAGGAGTACTCAAAATGCCGCGCGTTAAACCATTAAATAAAAAATAAACATAATAAATTCTTTATAATGTTGGAGCGTAACTCTGTTAATGTTCATTCAAACACTCGCCACAGCTCGCACTACAAAAGTGAGAACCGGATGGCCGTATAGGTGATTTTGGAAATTTTTTTAACAGTTTATGAATATTGAATGAGTGCAATTTGTATCGTCAAATACTGCTTTCTGTCCGAGGTCTGCCGGTATGATAAAAACAGTTGGTTTACACGCACCCAGATTTGCTGACAAGATTTTGCAAAGTAAACTTGTCGAACGCAAAAAAGTTGGCCTGATTTTTTTCCCACTAATTAATCTACGGTGATCAAGAGCCATTATGGCACTTAAATGTGATCGAAGATGATTACCAGTTTTTGAGTGTACATATGAGGCTATCAACTCGATGTAAGATTTGGTTCACTCTTGGGCTGTTTGCAAATTATTTTTCTCTAAAATCTGGTCGCCTTTCCCTCAAAAGTGACATAAATGTGCTCTAAAGTTAACTGAATTGTGGAATTCGAATACAAGTTTATTGTTTAATTTAAATTATAAATTTATTAATGGGAGCCTCGCTTTTAGCCCTGGCTAAATCTATATATTACTTTCTTTTCTACAGGGTGTTTCAGAAGTTCGTTCCGATTATAAATTGTATTTTGCGCAAAGCATTTAATGCTTCTTTAGGCAAATTCAAACTTATTCAGGGAAGAAATTTATCTAAATAACCGTTCAAAGCAATTTCAAACTAACATTTGAAGAAATTATAATATTTTTGAAGTTTTGCCCCAAATGTGCACGTACGTGAGTTTTTTTCCCGCCATATTTTCCTGCCCATTTTGTAGGTTTTCTACTTTTTTTTTTTTTTTTTTTTTTTGCCGTTTTCTTTAATTTTCTCTACTCTTTCACGAAAATGAAGGCCTACACTGTTTGCGCTAAAGCTGAGGGATCTGTATTTTTGGTTCTCTGGCCATTCAGGCAAAGAAATTGTTAAACTGTTGACTAAAGTGTGAACGATATAAGTGAACAAGTGGTCAAAAGTAAACACTTTCGAAGACAAACCAAGGAGTGTATGGCCGTCTTTCTTTAAATGTGTGAGAAATGTTACGGAAAAAGCTGTAAGTATATGCCGGCGTAATAATTTTACAAGACAGAAAGGTAAAAAAAATTCAACTTCACAATATCAAAGTTTCTACAACGGTATGAAGATATATGACCAACAAAGGTTGGAAAGCTTTGAAGAGAAAAAGGCGAAGCACGTGCATGGTGTGAGAAGGATTTGGAAACTCTATAGCAAAGGGCGACCGGCCGGCAAACTCATGTGATGTGAACCCCTCAGAGACCATCTGGATTATCGTTGACGAGAAAACATACAAAGATCCGGCCCCAAGGTCACTGGACTAGCTAAGGCAGTGACTACGCTTCGCCTGGAAAAGAGTGTCTTTAGACACACTTTGGGTGGTCGTACATTCTATACCTCACCACTTAAAAAATGTCAGAAAACATAAAGAAAGACATCGTGGCTACTGATATTTCAGTGATTCAATGTTAACTGAATAATGAATAACATACTTAGTTTTACTAAAGGTATTTTTAATAATCAGTGAAATTTAAGCGAAGGAAAAATCGGAACGAACTTTTGAAACACCCTGTATGTATCTAGAAAAGATACACGAGACGATTGATTAAAGA